TTATGTAATCTGCTGCTTTCTTTACTGACATACAAACAAACATTTCCCTGTAACATTTAATTTTGTGCTGGAAATCTAATGTTTCAATGTTTAATCTAATGTTCTAATGAATCAACGTAGAAGTCATAAAATAAAAATCTATAACAAAGTTTGTACTAAAAAAAATAGGGTGCCTAAGACTTTTGCATATATATATATATATATATATATATATATATATATATATATATATATATATATATATATATATATATATATATATATATAAAGAGAAGCTGGTGAGGGAAAAGCTGTTTATAGCTGTTATAACATCAGTGATAACAGGAACTAACTTGTCTCTCATAAGTTTCCTCAACAATAAATGTCACTATAAACTGAAAAAGAGTACAATGTGTCATTCAAAAATAAATAAAAAGTTGTAATTGTTGCCAAATGGCTGTGGTGTAAGAGGAATAAATACATCAGGACACATTGTTATTGGGAAATAATTAACTTTCTGGTGATAACATCATCACACCACCCCATCTTTGAATATTTTCCTCTAGCAGCACGTTTCTTTGTATTTTACTCTTTACCTAGTCTAGTAATCTAAATGATTACTATGTAGAACCTACTTTTAGGTGAGTTCATACGTAAGAGGTATGGGATGTATTCATGGGAATGCATGGGATGTAAATCAAACATAAGTATTTAGTTTAAGATGGCTAATGGTTGTTTAGTCTGCTGCTGACCTAGCATTAACTGGAGAGTCTGAGCGCGGGATACGCAGGGCAGCCATCATGCATATGTGCATATGTGTAGATAAGTCAGTTATAACACTAACCTTAATCCAGACCCTTTTGTTTTGCCTCTGTGTCAGTCGTATGCAGAAGCTGGCGACGTCTCTCGGGCCGTGGGCTTTGCGGAACGGCAGTCGCGCACGCTGCATATTGAGTGTTTTCTACGAGCGCCGCTGGGATCAGAACCTGGAGGAACTCCGAGAGGAGCTGAACATCGAGCCGCCACCTCTCATCGTGCCTACAAACAGCAAGAAGGCAGCCTCAGAATCCTAGCAGACTTTCACATTGCCCTTTAATGACATAACGATTCCTGTTTGAGGAGCTGATGTCCATGTAGAAATCATGGACATGAAGATGTGAATGATATAATTATATGATCCAACTCAGAGAGGATTTTATGATCATTCTCATGTGAGAAGTGGGATTACAGCGTTTGGATGATTGCAGTGTTTATTAGTCTTAGTTCTAATTTTTTTTCGCAACAATTTTGTGTACAGAAGGAAAAATCGAATAATTAACTTTAGGCGACTTGGGTACAAATGATTCACTGTGCACGTGTCATGGGACAAATATTCTAGCATTGTCCTTTCAGAGACACTTTTTCAGATGGAAGAGGGAAAATGAGAAACTGTAGTCAGGTAAACTTGGGCATAATCGTGTCATAGACTGTAAAGGCATAATTGTGTCATAGACTGTATAATAAGGTGTGTGAATTGTGTTTGAATGATTGTGATGGATTCCACATGCCGTATTGCCTCATTGTGGGAAAGTTGGATAAAAGTCTGTAAGAGCAGCTTTATCTCATGTCTGATTTATCCCGAGACTTTTTTGGAGGTTAGTGGTTCATGTAGTTTGTAACTGTGTAATATATTTACACATTTACTGTTGAAACAGGCTCAGCTGGTGCCTTTGGTGGATACACACCATGTGTATTCTTTATTGTGAAATGTGCTATGCACAATCAAGTAATTACACAGTCATATGATTCCACATGATCAATAGTCATGCTCAGAAAACGTTAGAGACTATAATTGTGCACTAGTTTTCCCCAGACACATGTTAAGCTGAGGTACTGGAATAAAACACAGTCAATAGAGACTTTATTGTGCTGGGACAAACAACAATTTAATCATGGTGGAATCAGCAGTACTGGCAGCTATGCATCAGGTCCTAGACTGACGACATTTTACAATCAATTGTTCTTGGATATCTCATAGAATTTGACAGAGTATTTGTGGAATAATAAAAATACTATTTAAATGCTTAATCACACAATTCTCGTTATTGTTATTATTATTATTATTATTATTATTATTATTATTAGTGTTAGTGTTAGTAGTAGTAGTAGTAGACGTTGTAGTAACCACCCCAAAGGTGGTTATTTAAGGCACCCCTTAAAGGTGCATTAGGTAAGATTTGAAGGGAAAAAAGATTTAAATGATTTTTAATCTTACTGAGCCAGCTCCATTTTCACCCATGTACACAAACCTCTGGCCCTGTGTGTGTGTGTTGGGGGTGTGTCTATAAAATGACTGACAAGCTGCAAATCCAAATATAAACAAACATTAAAATGGAGCTTATCAACAAACCGCCATTTCTTGTCAACCTTCCTTTGGCTTTTGTTTCTGTATTTTCAAAAGATGTGTTACCGCTTCTAACCGCCTCTAACTGCTTCTATCTGCCTTTAACCACCTCTAACTACCTCTAACCGCCTCTAATTGCCTCTCTGCCTGTAACCGCCTTTAACTGCCTCTATCTGCCTTTAACTACCTTTAACTTCCTTTAACTGCCTCTATCTGCCTTTAACTGTCTCTATCTGCCTTTAACCGCCTCTATCTGTCTCTATCTGCCTTTAACTGCCTCTAACTACCTCTATCTGCCTCTAACCACCTCTAATTGCCTCTATCTGCCTTTAACCGCCTCTAACTGCCTCTATCTGCCTTTAATTGCCTCTAACTACATCTAACTGCCTCTAACCTCCCCTAAGTGCTACTACCCTAAATTAGTAATAGACTGTCATAGAAGTGCACATCATGACATACAGCAGTAATCTACACAGGGGGACAAATAACTTAGAAGGATATACAGTTCTCTGACATTAAAAAATAAAGTTTGCATTTTAATGTATTTTCCTCAAACTAAAATTTTAATGAGGTTTTAACTATAGGATCTAAACATGTAAAACCAAATGAATTTTGGGACTTTCTTTGGGACTGAAAAATCAGAATCACTTCACGCCTCTGAGTGGTGCTCACAGGAATTGTCTACAGTTTGGTGTCAGTGTGTAACAGTATACAGTACACAACATACAGTATAGCAAGAGACTGCAACAACACCACAATTAGACAATACACAACACATCAGACAATGTGATGAAGTGTGCAAACTGCAATATGCAAAAAAAGGTGGAGGTGGAAGTTGTTCTGGGCTAGGGCGGTACAACTGTACAACATCTGCTTATTGTATTCAGTTGCAATATGAGGGCTTTCTGCAGTGCATTTTGTTTAACACATGTAGCACCTTCACTTTAAAAACCTATCAGTTTTGATTGGGGTCACTGAAAATCATTAAGAAGTAACAAAACAATATATAGTCGTAGTTATATGCAAAAAAAAAAAAAGCATTTGGTTTAACATATACAGTGTGTACCTCCTGAAGTTCATTTACTGTTAAAGGGTTTTTAACATATTTGTTGTAAATTTAACGTACAGATTCCAAAGTTAAAAATATTTTGTTTGTTAAGTATTATCTGTTTGTGGAAAAATGCATTAAAATCTAAATACTTTCTATGATTTTTTTTTAGGCTATTACAGCAGATCCGCCAATATGATGAAACTGCTTTGGCATTTAATGACGCACATTTTTACGACAGTCCCTTACTGGTTTATAGGCGGGTCTGTACCGCGCATGCGTACACAACGGTACACGTCACAAAACTTTAATATCCATGTATAAATACGTGTAAACCCTGCAAAATAAATGTTTATCACAACGCAAAATGCGTAATAGAAATTATGTTATTATGTTATATATAATAAAAAGTCTGTTATTGTGAATAATATCAATGATATGGTGGTCTAAACGTCCTAGACTTTACTTTCTTGAAAAATAATCAGAATAACTGATTAAAATAATTTTTTTTTGGCTGTTAGGCTACTAAAGTAGAATTTTTAGTGGTAATCGATGCTATTGCTAATAGAGTTAGTATACTTTTAAAAAGGCTCTATTCAGATTAAAGCAATCTAAAAAAAATGTCGTAAAATGACACGAAATGTGCGCATGCGCGGAGCAACAGCGCCAGGCGGATTCCTTTTTACACAGAAACTGTAACACTTTCCTTCCCATAGATTTTATTTTATTGCCCTTAGGAACCCCTTTAACTGTAACAGTAATTCTACAGACCCCCTCGGTAATTATTTATTTCATGAACGTTGTCAAATTTCCCTTATTAAAAAAAAAAAAACCTGTATTTTCTTTTTTTTTTTTTTTTAAAGGAAACCTCTCGAGACTCCCTGATTTGCATTTTGTCCGCTTAATGGTTACTCATTTGAAAATAGTTTTAAAATGAAAGTCTAAGCGATACTATGCCTAAAGTCACTCACCCGAAGCGTATTTCCCTTAAATCCCCTTAAGTGTTTCACCTTGAGAAAATGGAAAGTCTGTAAAGATTGAGTCCATGGTCGCTGATCATCTGGACCAAAATATTCCCCTAAAATTTCTACACATTGCTCCATGTCAATAGCTTATTAACTCTAGCTCTTGTATTTCTTTTGGATCTCTTTCTGTCTCCAACATATACTAGAATATGAAGGAGTACAGTGCTGTGTAGTACTCAATGAGAAATAAATAAGAAAGAACGTGTCTAAGAGAGATAAGAAGTTTGTCCTCTAGCTCCCTCTGCTGAACTAATGGTATAATTGTGATGGAGCAGGGATGCTGGTACTTGACCCAAACCTCCTTGTGCATTTATACATCCATCTACCCATCCATCCATTCTCTGTCCTGCTTATCCTACACAGGGTTGCGAGGTAACCTGGAGCCTATCCCAGGGGACTCGGGGCACAAGACAGGGGACACCCTGGTGTCAGTCGCACACACATCACGGACAATTTGGAAATGGCAATCAGCCTACAACGCATGTCTTTGGACTGGAGGAGGAAAGTGGAGTACCTGGAGGAAACCCCTGAGGCACAGGGAGAGCATGCAAGCTCTGCGCACACAGGACAGAGGTGGGAATCGAGCCCCCAACCCCAGAGGTGTGAGGTAACAGGGCTAACCACTAAGCCACTGTGCTACCCCACCCCATTTGTCTACCCATCCATCCAATTATTCATCTTCAGTAACTGCATTATCCCGATCAGGCTCACTGTGAATCTGGATCCTGGACTCCCAGTGTTCCTGGAAGTGAGGTTGGAATGGGGTATTCCCGGGATAGGCTTCAGATTCACAGCAACCCTGACCAAGATGAAGCGGTTAATGAAGATGAATGAACTCACATTCTTTTTTCTTCAGTTATTTGACTGCTTTTGTACCCATCATTAAACACTTTACTTTCTTTTAAAACACTGTCATTCTGTATAATTGAGAGCAGCTTGGGAACCTTGAAGCATTTTTCAAATTCAGTATTTTATCAAAGAATGCAAATATTTCAGTTCCTATGATGGGGCTGCACAGTTGGAGGGCTGGAGATCAGTACTGCTTGGATTATCTGATTAAAGACACTGTAATCAGCATATTATTTAATTAGCACGTTTAGGAAAAATTCCAACTGTGCCTAATACATCAAAACATTTTTTTTTGCCAAAAACACTGATGGTGTGCATCAAAGAATCAACAAAACTGCACTAAATTCTAAAACATCTTCACCTCTTCAACATTTTATTATTGCCCTAATTAACCTTCTTGGTATTTTTGACTGTCTGTGTACTCGTTATATCTTTTGCAGCTTGCCTCTTTAGAGTTAAAAAAAATTTCGAAGGAAGAAAAAGGGATTTCAAATGTGTGCAACCTCAAGTTTATACCCTAGCGAAACAGGAAATGACCAAAGACAACAATAGAGCTCTTGGAGACTGAAAGTTGTTTAAAGAATTTTTCTTGGATGACAGTTTGCATTGATTTTAAATACGTTTTAGAGGTGCCAATAATTTTGCCAAATACATTTTTGAGAGAATATACTGTAGGCTACTGTAGAATAATATACTATCTCTTAGAGTAAAGCTAAGTATTTTCTACAGTTGTTTGAATGGAACATTTGAATTATTGTCTGTAATGTTATTTAAACAGTACAATCATTTTTGTCTGGCTTCTCAAAGGGTGCCAATAGTTCTAGAGCCAGCTGTACACATCTATGTAATGACATTTTGTCTATCTTGTTAAAAGATGATAATATTTGATATATGATAAAGATGATGAAGGTGAATTAATGAAATAATCATGTGTGTACCAAAATAAACGTTAGATTTTACAAGTCTAACCAGGTTTAATGGAACATTCGAAAATTGTCATAATGTGAGCATGCTGAAACTCTGACGAAGTAATTGCAGGAATGTGTAACCTGCTCACACACCCATCACACACCAGTAAACAAAAGCTACAGAGAGGTGGAACCATGATAGTTAAAACAATAAGAGCCATGTGAGTCAAATAGCTCAGGCACTGAGATGTGCTGATATTAGCTTTAATTTTACTTTATTTTTATGAATTTATTTAACGCAGACAATACACATTCATCGACATCAGGATTTACGATATGTCAGATTTAGCCAAATGGCTCATTTTCATCTCCTGTCCCTGGGGAGCAGATGAAAAAACTCTGAACAAATAGGACAAAATGAACAGATAAAAAAATTAATGAAACAACATTAAAAGAACACGGTTACATAACACATAAAACAAACGATATACACATAACACAATCTGTGATGCAATCCTGACACTAATTTATGTGAGCATTATAAACGTGCCAGCAACCATATTAATTTTTTCAGAATAATATCTTAAATCTGCTGGAAGATTCCTTAATGGTATTACGCAATCACCTCTTGTAAGATTTTTTTTCAACTTTATTTTAAAGATAGAATGACTGTATTCATTTCTAAAATATTTGACAAATATTTTTGATAGAAAATAAATGTAATGCATGCTTAGTAAATCTTTCCATCAATAATGTGCAATGTTGATGCAATAAAATATATATCTAGACATATATACTGTATCATATCATAAAAATGTCCAAATACCACCATAGAATTCAGCAAATAATACACTCAATTAATTTATGCTTGTTAAAATAATAAAGAAGACTACAATCATTACTTGTCTACATTCAAATATGGTAATAAATAGAAAAAAATGGTGCATTTGACACTTTTTGACCAGCTTTATGTTAAAATCTATCAAGTAAACTACATTAGGCACAAATGCTGTATCACTTCATTTTGGTTCGCTTTGGCAAATTTACAAAAACGGATACATCTCAACTGTTTCAAAAGTTTTTATATTTACATAATTATCATGACTGCTAACTACTATTTATTAAAAATCTGTAACAATACAGACAATTCTTCAAAGGAAATGCTTCCGAAAAATACCCAAAATATTTCGTCTGAAATATTACACTGGCACAGTATACTTCATACCCAATTAGAACGTATGTAAGATTTTGTAGACATTTTAATACCTTCAAAAGTTACACCAAATTCTCCTTTAGTCTTTACCGCAGCCATTCACACAGGTTTGTTTGAATATGTTTCTAGTTCTATGTACTAATGCTACATATTCACGGTCATATTCAAATCTCATCCCTTAAATATTTTTAAATACCAGCAGCCACACTTGCACTGCAGAGTGTGCACTTCGAGATTCTTGTGACAGCAGAACAAGGCACTGCGTCTCTTCATGCATTCATTCATGTTAAATTTACACTCCATTTCTGACAGGAATCAGTAAACATGAAGTACATACATATTAGCAGTGCACAATAGACACTCTTTGATCAGCCACAGCACAAGCAGGCAGCAGTGGCTCAGTAAAATTGTGTCTTACAGAGTGCAACACACACTTTGAGTCTGGATCATAGAACAGCAGTGTTTGTGTGGTCCAGTCCAGCAGCACTCCCACTTTCGTGGGACTCTTCACTATAGGCACGTTGATGACCTGCCCGTTGTGGCAGTAGGAAAAGTTTCCTTCATAGTGCGAGAGCACCCAGGATTTGGCATTGAAGCCTAGACGAGATTCGTTGCTCGAGCCTTTGCGCTCCATGCTGCGGTAACAGACGCCCACTTTAAATGCGGCGCTGTCGCCCACGTAAAGCACCCAGGCATGAGTGCCTGAACTGATGGGCTCGAGGCAGAGGGCATTGGGCCAGTTGTCAAAGCGAGCCGGGTCATATGGAAGAGGTTTCTTCTGGCGTTTTGGCCGGTAAGTGAGGGTGAGCTGGTCAGAGGAGAGCAGAAGGAGATGGCTGACGGTGCGCTCATCAAAGTACATCCGAGCTGTAGCTGGAGAAAGAGGAGAGAAAACACATGAATGAGAGAACAGAGGAAAAATAGATGTAGTCCTATGTATAACAGCGACTTTAAGAGGAACATCTGTAACCCTGCTCATCCATGCCAAATTCCAAATTCCAAAATCATGTGGCATAAAATCATGCAGACACAGGTCAAGCGCTTCAGTTAATCTTCATAAATCATCAGAATAGGTCATCTCGGTGACTTTGACTGTGGCATGATTGTTGGTTTGACTATTTCAAAAACTGGGATTTTCATCCACAACAGATTCTAGTCTACAGTTTACACTGAATGGTACAAAAAACATCCAGTGAGTGGCAGTTTTGTGGACAGTTCTGTAACCACTCTTTACAACCACTGTGAGCAGAAAAGCATTCTCTGCAGTTGAGCCTCCACAAAGGTGTTGCATTCAAGTCTGTTTTTATTGCAGGATCCTCCTCCTTTGCATTCATTACTTTTTTCACATGCACCTGCTGATGACCTGCTATGGATGTCAGTGACATGGACTGAAAAATCTGAGATCTAGGGGTGTTTCACTATGCTTAAACTGATAGGCTGCACTGATAGGCTGCATGAATCTACAGTCTGGGCTAGAAAGAAATCAGCCCCAGCCTCCCTATTTCATACCAATCTGTGGATTTTTATTATGCCCATTATTAGTGCTGTCGCTCTCGAGTCCACAAAAGTCCAAAATAATCCATCTTAAGGCATTTGTTAGCTGCAAAATAATTTGATGTGAGTTCCACAAATATAACATTATATTAACATCTTTTTAATCTTTGAAAGACAGAAGGAGTTTAGCCCTGCTAACCCATTTATGCCAGCCCTTCCTGTGAGACCAAATACAAACTGCAGAGGCAGCTGAACCTGTAATAAACAGGCTAAACAGGCTGTATTGCAGCACACGAGACAATATAACCAGTAGATCTAAAAGGCACCACCTACTGGTAAAGATTAGAGCTCAAACATCTAATTGAACTATCATGCTTCAGGTTTAGCATCTTATTTAGTCAGTAGTTACCTGTGAGTAGTAATCACATATACACTAATAATGTGTTAGATAAAGATTTGGTTTATCGACAGGTCTGGTCATTCTTATACAAATTCTCAGAATATCTCAGATCTGGGTACTATGCAGAATAAAGCTGTATTATGTGGAGATGTGTGGTGTGGACTCACCGGGCGGTCCCAGCAGCAGCGCACTAGCCCACATGCCCAACATGAGTTTACTATCACTGCAGTCCCTGTTCAGATTCAGGTGATCTGAGTCTTTGGGCTCACCAACACCTTCTGCCACCTCAATCCTGACACAAACACACAGACACACAATTTCAACACCGCCTCTCAGACACCATCCGTTTTGTACTTTGTGTTGTCTTAGAAGTATATCTGAGAAATTACCTGTCTGATATTTCTGAGTTCATGCTCTGCAAAGTGAGAATCAGAAACACAATGGTTAGTCCAATTTCTTAATGTTACCACCATCGAAGTATATCACAATCAAACACAGGCTTTGTTACACCCAGAGCTGGTCTGTCCATTAGGCCATTTAGGGGACTGCTTAAGGCATTAGCATTGGCCCTTTTGAAAAATATTTATTGCTATTTCTCTAAGATGTGGACTAAGTTATGAATATTAATGTCTTATGCAATGCACCTTAGCCAACGTCTCTCCCAAATATGGACATTAGACTTAAATCATGTGACATGGCACCACTATGACCGATTGGCACGGCTTATTTAAACTAGTTTATTTAGATGTCAATTCGTTTCGTTGTGCTTGTTTATCCACACT